AGGATACCTAAGTATCTGGCACTTTCACTTTTTTTAATTGCGGTGATTTTGGTATTGTCATCCAATTGCATTTCTTTTTCCTTTGCATTTATATTTATTAACACTGATTTATTTGGGTTGTCTTTGATGTCATTGGCTTTATAAAAGGATTTTGTAATTTGGTGTAATTTGGTCATACCTTCTAAGTTGTTCCCTATTAAAGTTGTATCGTCCATGAACGCTGCATGAGTTATTGTTTTCTTTATTGTACATATCACCTCTTGCCTTGTGTCTGTTCTATATTGAGTTTTCATCTGATAACCATGTTGGCTGAATTTATCTAACTCACAAAGAAGTGGGTCATAGAAGATACGCCATAGTATAGGTGACCATGCTTCTCCTTGTTCTATCCCATCTTCAACTCTGAAGTTACTTGTTAATCCCACACTTGTAATTATCTTACTTTGCCTATTTTTTAAAGTGTTTAAACATAATTCTTTAAAATTATCTGGGATTTTAATTCTGCTTAGAGCCTTTTCTAACATATAGATACTCATTGAATCATAAGCTTTGCTTATGTCAAGAAAGAGCAACCAGAGTTCTTTCTTTTTCTCTCTTGCATCTTCCATGATATTGTTTAATATATGTAATGGTTCATGTGTGCTGGTACCTGGTAATGCAGCACAGTTATTTCCTTTGAGAATTTCATTTTTAACCAAAATTTTATTCAACCTTGATGTGAGGATCTTAGTCAGTATTTTTTTGGTCGTTTCTATTAGGGTTATTGGTCTTATATCTGCCAATTTTCCTTCCCAATTTGCCTTTTTTGGTATTGGGTATATCATTGTATTTTTCCAATTACTAGGTATGTTTAACTTGAGTATACATAGATTGAGCATTGCTAGAAGATATGGTATGTTATTTTCTCCCATTTTTTTTAGAAGTTCATATGGAATGCCTGATTCTCCTGCAGCTTTTTGGTTATTACATTTGGTTAGTATTTCCATTAGCTCCTCTCTGACTATTTGTTTCATGATTTGATCATACCAGTTTTTATCTATTTCTTTTTTTGGTTGGTATTGTTGTGACCAATTTCTAATAAATTCTACACGATCTTGGCTTCTTTGTTGAGCTGTTTTTGCAAAATAATTTTTTGTTTTCTTTAGGATTTCCTCTGGTTCTGTGATCATTATTGGATTAGCGTTTCCATTGTCTATTATTTTATCGATGATTAAAGGTTTCCTATTCCTTTCTAATATACTGTTTATCATTCTGCTAGGATCTAGTTCCATATTCCTGCATCTTTCATCAATTGCTTGGTCTATTTTGTTCCTTATATATGTTTGTTGAGCAATTTGTTTGGATTTGAAAATGATTTTCCATATTGACCACATCTCTTTAACCCATATATCTATATTATTATTTTCGATTATTTCTGGAAAATTAGGTATTTGGATGTCTAACTCTGTTTGTAATTCTTTTATTTTGTAATTAATGAAATTTATATCTTGTGGTAGTAGATTGTTAGTTATGTCTCCTTTTTTGACTTTTGCTATTAACTTCCTAATTAATTGCATTTGTTTGTATGCTATAATTTCTTCCTTTCCTTGTTGTTCTTTTATTATTTTTTTTGATTTGATTTTTTTGTTTGGTAACGTTTGCTTTGCTGCTTCCCATATACATTTGCTCATTCTTTGCCAATAGGACTCTAATATGTTCAGTTTTTGTTTGTTGTCTTGAATGATTTCGAGTGTATCAATAGATAGTTGGGAATTTTTTAATCGTTCTTCTAGGTTTGTTTGATAGTTTTCCCACTCTTTTGATGTGGTAGTTTTAAAGTTAAAAATTGTCCTTTTATGATTTAGTATTGTATTTTTTCCACAATTATTATTTTTCTGTAAATTTTGTATTTTACATCCTATTATATCATGATCACTGGTGGTGATCAGTCTTGCATCTTGTTGTATATATGTTTGGATCAGGTTTATACTGTTGCTTTCCATCCATACCTGATCAATTCTACTAGCATTTTCATTGTTTCTCCATGTATATTTTTCCTCTTCTTCGTGAAAATAGCGCATCACATCAATCCAATTTGATTTCACCATTTCCTTCAACAAATAAGATTCTGGTGCTGATGAATTTCTCTTTCCTTTTCTATCCTTTTTTGGGTTTGGAGTTGCATTGAAATCACCTAAAATTATCACGTTATTATTGCTTTGGTTTAATTCGTTTAACCACTTTATTATTTTCCCTTCTACTTCAATTTTTTTTGTTTTTTTATCATTTGGGCTATAAATAATTATGATACATAGTCCATTGGTGCCTTTGAACAAGAAATCTACTCTTATTGCATAACCTTCAATGTAATGAACTTTGTATATGTGTGGTACCAGTTCTTTACTTACGAGTATTCCAACTCCTCCTTTCGCTGTTAGGTTTGATGACCAATATGCCTTGTATTTGTTGTCCTTTTGGTATATATACTTATCTTTGTCTGGGGTCAGTTTTGTTTCTATTGTGCCTATTATGTCATATTCTTCTTCTTTACAATAGTTAATCCACATATATTGTTTGGTTGGGTCATTAAGACCAC